AAATACAGACTGCACATGACATCAAATTTGTAATCGTTTTTCCACAGCAAGCAAGCGTTTTCTATATTGGATGCAGGTGTTGAAAGCAATAGTGTGTTTTAAGGGCCAGTGCAGCACAAATTCTGGCCTTTGGGATAATGACAAGTGTTTTGCCTGCATAAACAATATATATATATATTTTTTTCCCCTGAGGTCCGCATGCACCTAGTTCCCCTCAAGCTCATCATCTCTGTCAGGTTAATCAATAGGCACCGTATGGCAGAGGGTCAGTAATCAGTGTCATCGTGCCTTTAAATCGTGTTGAAAATTTGCTTAAAGCCTGGGCCAATTAACATCGAGATGATGAATGGATGGGTAGATGGGAAGAGCCTGGCGCTCAGGGGCTTTGTGAGAAGGAGATGCTCAGCTGTTGAGCAGCAGACACCAGCGAATAAAATCAGCCATTCATGTGAGCTCAGTCCACCCACTCTTAATGATAATGTCAATCTAGCAAAATATATACACATTGGAGTTGTCATGAGTTCATAAATCAAAGGAGTTTGTCAAAGGCATTCAGATTAACGAGGCAGCAGCAATAACAAGTCAAATTTGCATAGAGAATTGCCCGAATCTCAGTAAATTATGATCCTGTTTTTCATTTGATTATTTGCTAATGTCTCAAGAGGGAGAATGATTATATTAGCATGCAAAATCTACTCCAGAAGTAGAAATCGGAGGTATAGCAGACCAGCATACGATGACAATTAATCAGTTTCTGCATACTAGCATAAACGCACAAGGCCCAGAAATGAACTCCTTTTTTATTATTATTTCTCCTTGCTACTGATCCAAATGGTTCAGCTTGACAGAGACTTTATATTGCTTTAACAGTGTTCTGAATTGTGCCTGCAGGCAAGACATAGTTATGCAGCTATAACCAACCTATCCATCTGCCAACCAGATTGGAATTCTCCTATCCAAGGCTTCCATTAACCCCCACTGACAGCTCCAAACAGGATTAAGAATTTGAAAGCATAAAAAATAGTTGTGCTCTTCGCATAGACACCCGGTACTTCCCCGCCCCCCTTCCCTGCACTTGGAGGAGGGCTGCATCTGTACTGTTTTATAATTAGTGCTGGGCAGATCAGCACCAAAGAAAGCCGGCCCAGTTGGCAGGGCTTTGATTTCCACCGCCACGAGCGAGGCGGTACTAAAGGTAGCTCCGTCCAATTGGGGGTCCCTGGGAGTGCGTTTATCCCTGTGTTATATCTCATTCCCAGCAGTGTTTTGCTGGGCTGCGTGTACAAAATACTGCGTGTCATCTCGCATCAAACGCTTCAGCCTAGGGACTTTGTATGCAGCGTAGCGTGTTGTGTTTAGTGATGGAGGAGACTTCATGGGGAGAGTTAAATAGTAATAATTTGGTGGTGGTCTTTAAGACAACCTGCCATGGAATTATACTCTGTTAATTACAGGCTGAAGTTTTAAATGCAAATCAGATTTAAAGGGATCTCATTATAGACTGTAGCCATTTTAGGAAAAATGAGCTATGGAGGGCAAGTCCCCTTGATGGGAGCCTCTTGGTAGGGAGAAATTTTGAAGGTTACATGAAATGTGAGGTTGGATTTCCTTGCTTCTTTCCCACGTTTCCAGTGTCATTGTGTGACCTTGGAGAAATTGAAAAAAAAATACTCGAAATATTCCCAGTGTTTGGAAAATGGAGAGGGTGAGGGTGGGTTTTTATCTCACCAAGGTTTGACCCCTTGGTGCTTTGTAGGCTTTGGTGCTTCTCGTCTCATCTTGCTTGGCCGGTGCTGTTTGGAAGGAGGGACCGCTGCACACAAGTGCAGACGCTGCTGTCCGGTTTTCGTTCAGGAATTACCACGTGCCTGTAGGGTTTTAGAATTTGCTCTAAGCAAAGGGGGGTTGTATGGTTTTTCAGCCACACCTGCGTTTAGGGTTCGCTGTTTTTCTGCGCTCTCATCCTAACAAATTTCCTCCTTCCTCTACTATGCATCAAGTGCAATCAGTGGAGATATTAATATTCCCAGCGCGTACACCACCCCACCGTCTGGATACCAAATGCCGCTTCCTAGCGCTGTGCCCGAGACATGTGTTTCAGTAGCCACGAGAGGGTGCTCGGAGCGGTGCCTGCCTTTGTCTGCGCCTCCTGCGGCCGCGAGCGGCGCCGAGCGGCGTCCTGCCCGAGCAAACCTTGCCCTGACCTCCCGCCTTTATCCCTCCTCCCGCCTCGTTCAGCAAGGAGAAATTTATAGGGACACCGTTTAACTCGGTTACGTTCTCCTCCTCCTGCGGCCTCGGCTCAACGTGGCCTTGTCCGGCGGCACGTGCCACCGTGCGGCTCCCGTTCGTCCCCAGATACGCAGGGTCTCGAACCTGCACCTGCAGCGATGGGTTCCCTATGCCTGGGAGCCGAGCGGGAGCTCCCAACATCTGTGCTTTTCCTTAAGTGCGGCGCTTTCCAGTCATTCCGTCTTCACCGAGCGGAACTTACTTGCCGGCACAAGTGCCTGAGCAGCGCTCCTCTTTAATGGGCTGCTGCTGGAGCTGCTGCCTTGGTGCTGGAGAAGGGAGAGGCGCCAAGCTGTGAACCACCATATGCACTTGGCAGTCTTTGTCTGGTCTTTGTTCAGCCAACCTCTTAGCCTTGCCACCTATAAAGCTAATGAATGCAAAATGGTCCTCCGCTCGCTCTTCAAATTAGATGCTCGGCTTCAAGAGAAAAAAAGGAGAGAACGTGGCGCTTTAACCAGGAATTTCAAAATAAGGGCTGACAGCTTGCCAGCGGTGTGCTGATTTTCCTGCTTTTGACAATTTTTGGAGGGGGGAGGATCCTTAAAGGCTTTGCAAGGGTGGTAAAAGGCAAGGTTTCACTGTTAGGTAAAGGGTTATTTGGAAGGGGGCATCGTTTCGGCAGTCGTAGGGAAGGAGATGAATGCTGAAAATGCAGCCAGAAATAGTAAGCAGCCCCCTGCCCCTCCGCGACAACAAAATGTATTTCCTGCAGTGCATTGTATTTGCCTCTAAGTCTTATGCTTCTTACACTTGATCTTTTTTCCTCCTTGCACTTGATCTTTTTTCTTCCAAAGCACAAAATTGAAAGCCTTACTTGAATTAACCACTTACTAAACTGTATTTCATGGGCAGAACAGAGCAGCTTTTATGTTTGACCTGCCTTTTTGCAGGTATGTAGGTCTAGCTTATATGATTTTACGATCACTCTCCTTTCTGAGCCAGATTTAATGTAATAACTTGGTCCTTGGCTGAGGCCTCCTATGAAAACTTTTAAAAGCGTGCCTCTCAGCGATTTATCAGGCCTGTTTAGGATTGATTTCCATTATAAAACCCTGGTTACAGCATCCCAGATGCCATGGTGCCCTGTGAGTTCTATATCTTTAAATAAATAAATAAATAAAATGTTTGGCCTGCAAGACTTGATTTACACAGGCTCCTCAGGGCCAATTTATGACATCTTGGTGGCTTTTTTTCTCCCCCTTATTTGCTGTTTTTCACAAGCGGCTCCTGCCCCTGCCTGACCTCCAGGCTGCAGCTTTTCCTGCCCTTCGTGGGGGCTGCAGACGTGGGAGCTGCTGTGACCGTGTCCGGGCACAGCGAGGAAGCGGCAGAGCAGCGCCCTGCGGAAGGGGAGGTTATTGGGGCGATGAGGGAGGACGAGCACAGGGTGCAAACTTGCCCCTCGAGACACCTGCTCCTGAGCTTGCACGCCAGGAATGGGAAGCCCCACTTTTCGTAGCAGAGCTCTCCCTAAGCCGTTTCTCTGTCTCTCTTCAAAACCTGTTCAGTTACTCACTGCTGAACATGTGGGAATGTGGCCTCGGGCTAGGAATACCGTGGTGATCAAAATGATTTTAGAGTTTGCGGGATTCCCCCAGAGCTGGCTGTCTCCATCAACACAGAAGGTGCCAGGGAAGGCCATGCTCCAGAGCTGCTCGCTGCGTGCTGGATTCACCTGCAAAACCCAGCAAGTTGTTGCCAAAAGTTTGCTAAAGGTTGCGTGTGTCCCAAGCTATAGCCCATCTCTATTCTGAAGCAAGTAACAACAGGTTTTCAACGGGAGGTTAACAGGAGTAAAGTCTCCTGGTGCTCTTTCTGTATTCATCCTGGAAAGGCCTTTGCAGTTCTATTTCCTGCTCCATCCTCATCTCTTTCTGATGCTCTTTTTATGGAGGTGGTAACTTAAGTTCCCCACTGGTCTGTTTTTCTGGAAGGGTCAAGGAAACGTGTGTGTGTGCAGAGTCACAGGGCAGGATTAAGACACAGCCATGGTATCAAACCTCCCTGCCCAGATTAAACAAGCAAAATGAGCAAACAAATGAAAAAAAAAAAAAAAACACTCCCCTCCTGACCCTCTCACTCGCCAGCATTTAGGTAAATAAAATTTCTGGGTGTTTCTGGCAGTCTAACAGATTCTCTACAATTGATTATTTAGGCATATTAAAGTATAAATGCATAAAGGACAAGTGCATTCATTAACAGTCTTTAATTTTCAACAGGTTCCACTGTTTGGAGTAGGGATTATGGGGAGTTGAGAAGCTTTGGTGTTGCCATACTGCGCCTTTCTAGAGAGGCCACTACTGCAGTTTCAGTATAAATCCCCCTAAATGCTCGTATGATACGTGCTTGCACGGTGGAGCATTTATATGTTGAGGAGAAGAATTTATTTCTTGGCCAAAACTAGCCATTTGTCTTAGAAGTACAACTGCGCCTTTCTAGAGAGGCCACTACTGGCAGTTTCAGTATAAATCCCCCCAAATGCTCATATGATACATACTTGCACGGTGGAGCATTTGTATGTTGAGGAGAAGAAATTATTTCTTGGCCAAAACTAGCCATTTGTCTTAGAAGTACAAGTTAGCTTCCTGTGTGTGTGTGTGTGTAAGATAATGTAGCCTCTGTAGCTACAAATATTCTTTTTCTTTTCTTTTTTACAGAGTAATATTAGGGGAAAGAACTGAATTAAAGCTTACTTTCTTTCACAGAATTCTTCTGAGAGGGAAGACTGTAATAATGACGAGCCCCCTAGGAAGATCATTCCTGAGAAGAATTCACTTAGACAGGTATGTGATCAGTCTCTTTAAAAATGCAATAAAACTTTCTAAGCTACCTGAATCCTAAAATGCTTTTGGAAGCTGAAGTCTGATTTGTGCTAATGGAAATCTTTGCTTCCCTCCTTTGAAGCCTGAGCAAGTTGCATTGCACCTGGGGAAAGCAGGCACACGGGCTGAGATTTCACAAAGGTGCAGTCTGATGTTCCTTGCTAAGGAAACCCAGACTGTTCTGTGTGGTGCAGTCACCAGTGACTTCCTATTTTGACCTTTCTCCATTTGCTGTGCATCAAGACCTCTTCAGCCTTTTATTCTGTAATTGTTTCTGTCCTCTTTGTTCGATATTTTGCCTTGCTTCAGATCATGCATTCAAGAATCTCCAAGGGTTCTACAACAGTTAAGCTTTCCGCTTCTGTTGAAGGTCAATTTTCAAAGAGATCATGTCCCACTTAATAACCTGAAAAATAATCATCTTTTTTCTTCTAAATTCGTATTAATTATTACTGGGTGGAAGGATAAAAGTTGGGTTAACCCACGTATCTCTTAGTCCTTCTTACATAGTAAAGCAAATTTCTAGCCAATCCATCAAGAATCACTTTTATAATCCCCATGATTGGCAGAGGGATGGCTTATGATTTCTGGTGGATATGGGTAGGATCTACCAATTTCCAAGGGTGCTTCCTGTACCAGCTTGCCGTTCTTTCTGCTCACTGCGCCCTTCAGGCAGCAGAAGAAAACGTGTCCATTCCTCAGCTGCCCAAGTTTTTGCTGCCTGGTGTGTCAGAGTAAAGCCAGTGATGAAGGTGAAGAAGTGAGCACCCAGGCCACAGGTTGAAGCACCTGAGAAGCTGGACCTCAGCTATAGGAGAGAGAGCCTCAGGCAGAGGAGTAGGGAGGGAAAACAGTGCCCCACTGCTGCTATTTCTAAGCAAAATTGGGTCAGAACCATGACAGAGTGTTTGATATAGTCTGTTCCCCTAGCT